GCTTTCATATTTCTTTCTCATATATATAATTAGTAGAACATGTGGAACAAAAATTTCTTGTCACTTAAAACACATTATGAAGATGGCAGTGACAAAATAAATTATTTGATAAACAGTTTTCTACGTTTCTTTTTTTAACTTATGTATTTTAATTGATTAAATAATTAGAAATTTGTATTGTATTTTATTATGTTCTTTTATATCGACGTCTGGGACAGGAAACTTAAAAAAATACCCCAAAAAAGACTAAATTTTTCCGCCACACGAGAGAATTGCAGATAATCTGATTAATGATAAAGATGGAATTTGTGGAGATATATACCACATTTAATAGTTTCATTCAATAGTGTCTCTCAATGGACAGGTCTTAAGATGAACATGGACAAAACAAATATCATGTTTAATGTCCGTGTCACACCTATGCCGGTAGTTGTTGGGAGCACTAAGCTCGAAGTTGTTGACGAGTACGTTTACCTGGGACAAATAGTCCGACTGGGTAAGTCCAACTTCGACCGAGAGGTCAATCGACGAATTCAACTCGGCTGGGCAGCGTTCGGAAAATTACGACGCATATTCTCGTCAGGTATACCTCAATACCTGAAAACTAAATTGTACAACCAGTGCGTGTTGCGAGTGATGACCTACGGAACCGAGACTTGGTCCTTCACTGCTGGCCGTATGAGGACGCTCAAAGTCGTTCAGCGAGCTATGGAGAGGGCTATGCTCGGAGTTTCTCTGCGTGATAAACTTAGAAATGAGAATATCCTCAGTAGAACCAGAGTGACTGACATAGCCCAACGGATTAGTAAGCTGAAGTGGCAATGGGCCGGCCATGTAGCTCGTAGAACCGTCAACCGTTGGGGAAAAAAGGTTCTCGAGTGGCAGACTCGTACCTGTAGGCGAAGTGTAGGGCGACCCCCCACTAGATGGAGTGACGACCTGGTAAGACATGCAGGTACTCGATGGATGCAGGTGGCTCAGGATTCCTGAGTCAGGAGCGTGCTTTGTGGCATACCTTGGGGGAGGCCTATGTTCAGCAGTGGACTTGTAAAGGGCTGTAATGATGATGATGATACAACATATATATTTTGAATAAAGTTATCATTCATCTTCGCTAGGGTTGATAATGTTTTGTGATGTTTTGCAACTATATTGGATAACAGAAAAACAAGATTTAAAACAAATCGCGAAATATAAAAAAACAACAGTGCGAACGCTAACGTTGACAAATCTATAGATAAACAAGTGGAACGTTTATGTTGTATTTAATGCGAACACAGCTAAAAACAAATCTTGATATCTGTTGAAAATTTTACACAGTTTTTGTGAGTGCGAACGCCACCATCAACAAAACATGTTGTGTGATTTATTTCATGCGATTTGTTTCAAAACATTACGTGTTGGATGTTTCTCAGTGCAAACGTACTGTTATGAATGTTATCGTGAATGTTTTACAGACTTATACTATAAGCGACATAGGTATAAGCTGAATTTTTTAAGTGAATGTACGTTAATCCATATTTGAATTAATTTATTTAATAATTAAATCAAATTATTCCAAAACTTCTTAAAAAAATTTATAATAAAATTGATTTAATTTTTAATAGACGGCACTCCGCTCTTTTTACTGCTAAGACGCCATGTCAAGACAAGTAGGAAACCTATGTGAACTTAACAATTTAAATAACTGTTGCTATTTTATTTTTAATAGTATTCTATTATTATTTCAATATTGTAAAGAAAGCTTGTTTTATTAAAAAATATTCTTTAAAACAAAAAATTATAGGTATTTTACTAAATACGATACCTACTTAAATAAAACTTCTTTTCTTTTTTCATTTTGTACTCATTTATAGTAGAATATAATTCTGGTACTGATTAGGTAGATTTGGTACCAAATTTATTAGTTAAAGTTCCCATCACTATTTGCTTATTAGCAAGTGTCGCAACCTTGATTTTAACCAATTAGCGTGCATTTCAACCCGCTTTCCCCGTACCGCTTACCTCAGACTTTTGACAGACTGGTTTGGATGCAGAATCACATACATTAGGCGTCTATTCCGGCTGTGTAGTCGTTGATAAAAACCTTTAAATAAAGGCGGGGAAAAATATTAGTGGGATAGACGACTTTTTCGAGGTTATATTTACTAAATAAAATTATTTTAGATTTTAGAGCTACTGAGCAGTTTAGCAGCACACTCATCCCAGTAGCTACTCCAGCGCTGTTGTGGAGAGTTTTTGAGCTGTTTTTTTTACTGCTTACAGATGACCACTTTTTCTACTATTCTACTATGGGAGTTGGTACTCCTTACTTTTACACTCCATAGTACTAACGTAATGTTACGAGCTTGAGGTTCAGCAATTGCGTTACATGTACAAAACATGCAAGTTCTAATAATCACGTGCACCTCGAAAGGCATAGCAATGAACAGGAGAGGGACAGACACTTAAAAATTCTTTTCCTCAATGTATTCATTAATTGAATAATAACTTTTTTTAATAAGTATCTCTTTTAAAGATCTTATGAATTTATTAATATTTGTTTTGGCTTTTATGTATTCCGGCAATTTATTATAAATTTTCATTGACATCGAGTGAGGACCTGTACTGTGTAATATTAATTTAGATTTTGGTTGCAAAAGGTTATTCTTATAGCGAGGTACGTTGTGTCGGAGCGCGTCTATGATTTTGTTGTAAAATTTTTGGTTTTTGGTTTTTGCTTCCCTTCAATGAGCGCAGGTACAGACCGGAATGCTTTTCGCACCAGCTTCTCCACCTCTAGAGCCCACTGCTGCAGGTTTTCGTTGATGCGCTGCACGCGATCTTTAAGCTGCGCGCGAAAGACGTTCCAGGTGAGCGTCGCCATATCTCGCCTCCAACGCCTCAAGAAGCTGCTCGTAGGCACTTTCTTACCGAGAGCTTCCAACACAGTTGAGGCTTGGTCGAGCAGACCTAGGGTGAGTGCAGTCATGGCTTGGCTTTTATTCCAGCCGTTCGCCTCCATGACGGCCTCGAACTGGATTTTGTAGGCCGACCAGGAAGAAGTCCCGTCGAACGGTGGCACTTTGAATCCACGTAGCGAAGGTGCTGTAGCTACTACGGGAGCTGTAGCGTTTTCTTCACGTCAGCCATCACGTTGTCAACCCGATTGTTCACATGGTTGATTCGGGTTTCATGTTCTTCGATTCGGTTTTCAGCTTCCGACAGGCGGTTGTCATGTTGAGCAACCCTATCCTTCACCTCCCTTATCTCTTTCCCAAAGGTAGCGTGAAGGTCCTTCATGAGGAGCATCTGTTCCTCCTGTCGGCGAGCCTGTTCCTCCTGTTGGCGATACTGTTCCTCCTGTCGGCGAGCCTGTTCCTGAGGCATCATCATCAGAGCACCTAAATCAGGTGCTACAGATGTAGGAGCTACTGACGGGCCTGCAGCCGGCGGCTGGCCCTCCGACGTCTGCGGCGTTGCACCACCAAATCTTCTTTGGTCCGTCTCCTGCTGGTGTTGACTTCGGGTACGGACACCCTCCGTTTCCGCCTTAGGTAAAATCGGTATAATTTTATCCCACTTCTGACACCAATTGTTACGAGCTTGACGTTCGTGACAATAAAAATTGCCGATAGAATTACCTAAATTAACACTTTAATTCACTTTACACTAATTAAAGTTAAAAACACTAATAATTAATCACACTGATTCACTTTATTCCGCTCCGAAGCTTCGCTTGTCTCGCCAACTTCACTACTTCATCGATCGCATCTTGCAGCGTCTATAAATATAAATTAGCTCCGAAATATCCAGAATATTCAAGTAAACACGCGCAAGGTACCGCGAGTTCGAGTTTCAACTTCTAGAAGTTTAGTTCTTCGGTTCGAGACTAGATGGCGCTGTCGGTTGAAAGATTAGTGATGTCATTTTCTGGAAAGCTCCCCTCGCTCTCGTCTCTGACACTAGATGGAGTTAGTGCAGTCGACTTAGGCGCGTAACAGTAATTACTAGTTTGTGTTGTCAATTTTTTTTATTAACTGGCTTTACGACTCTGGGTTCTAGCCCTTCTGAGCCTATCATTTCTTTCAGAATCTTCATTTTTATATTCTTTTTCTTCACATTATGCTGATGCGTCACATTGCGAAACCAGCCTTTGGGAGATTTTGACGAAAACTTAACCCAGCGGACAGTTGATGACGACAGCCACTCAAGTTCATAAGGCGCCCAAGCGATCAAAATAACTTGAGGTTTATTTCGATATCAAAGCACTTATTTTGTCGTTTTATTTAATAGTTGGAATTCACAAAATCGCATCACTTTTACGAATCAAAATCCACTTCAAACCATTATTCAAGCGACAAAACCGGAGCGACAATCCGTATACGGCCAGGTTACCTCCAAAACTCCTGTTGGCAATTTATGAAGTTTATACCATGGAGGTTAGAGAATAGGAGAACGATCGCATACGACACCATAAGAGAAGCGCTGCGATCGCTAAGTTCACTCATTAAAAGTCATTTTCAGTTTATTTTTCCGATCAGATGCTAAACTACTTGCACATCCACGAACAATAAAATATTTATCCATTTTTTAATGTTTCTTTTTGTCAAAAATTACAAAATTACGGAGCATGATTTTCTCACCAATGGTACATTATTCAACTAGCTTCATCTATTCTCTTTCTACGGTATATACCGTAGACAGTATAATGATCTGTGGTAATTTATGTCTATGACCGCATGGTTGTATTTGTTTACGTTTTGATTGTAATTTCTAAGCAAGGAAAATTTCATATATTCAAATATTAAGTGTAGTTATTTATGTTACAAAAATGTTATTTAGAAACATATTGTAGTGATTTTTCTGCTTGGATACATGTCTTATGATTATGAAATAAAATGTGATTATGTTTGAGTGTCTGATAAAAAATCATATAATATAGTAAAGTATATAAAATAGTAAATTAGGCACATTGCTAAATAAAAAAATGTTTGTTAATTAAAATATGTTTTAAAAAAATGACGTGCTATCAAGTATCAGATTTAGTATCGGGACTTAAGTCCCGGCATACGGAAACTAGGCATAAGGCAATTCGTGAATTATTGCATTTTGCTAAAACTGATCTACGTGAGATGTCCCAGGATTCTTTGAATCAGGTTCTTGACGATTTTAACCAACAAATTCATGCCTTGACATCCAGTTACGATAACAATGAGAAGAAGGCTGGTATACTTACTATAGGTAATTTTGAGCTTGTGGCATACTTTGGTTTGATGTATCTATTTGAAATTTCATTTAGGTGCTTTTAATAAATCTTACTAACTATCAGCATTTTTAAATTGTTTTAAATTGTTGAAGGAATGTCTTCATTGAATTTCATAGTCTATTACTTGCATAAATAAGATACCTTGATACATTTACCTCGAATGGGATAAAAACATGTTCAGTTTATATCAAGCATGTTTTTTTTTATATCAAGGTAAATTTACTAAACCTACAATTCATTTAAGGATTTTTACTTAAGCGAGAGATCTTGTTTTTGTTAATCGAATCCTAAAATAGTATACTCTGAAAACACCTAATTTTTGAGCGATATATTTTTTTTTAATCATACTTGTGGAGTTTTAATATGATATTTTTGGTAAACAACATTTTGGAATTGACTTAAATGACCCTATGTCCCTAACTAAGCAATAGTTAATTACATTGTAGAGTGATAAATAACTAAGAAAAATCTGCTATTAGTGTTGTTGTTTTTATAGTTTAGTAAAATATTTTAAGCATCAATTTGTGTTTTTTTTTGCAATTCCTAGTTTTATTTTCTCTCACTATAAGTAGTAAACATACTACTAAATAATTAAAAGTTTACATATTTCTTTTTCTTTCTTTTACTTTCAATTCGAATTTGAATTATTACTTTATTATTTCAGTCTGTCTTATTGGGGGAGATATTGAAACAACCAAAACAAGATTAAATCGCTATGCTCAATACTTAAGGAATATCTTTCCTTCTAATGATGTAGGTATCTTGGAGTTAGCTGCCAAGACTATGGGCCGTTTGGCTGTGTCACTTGGTGTTAAGAGAGGAGAATATGTTGAACTTGAAATCAAAAGAGCTTATGAATGGTTGTCTGAGGAAAGAAGTGAAAGTAAGAGACTTTCAGCAGTCCTAATATTACGTGAACTTGCTATTGCTATGCCTTCATACTTTTACCAACATATAGGTGGTTTTTTTCATAATATACCCATTGCACTCCGAGATCCTAAGGAACAAATCCGTGAAACTGCTGCGAAAGCATTAAGAGCTGCATTTGTTGTAACATCACAAAGAGAACAACCGGATCAAAGCAATAAATCACATTGGTATGCTGACTGCTATGAAGAAGCTATGACATCATTTTCTGATCATACTATAAGAGAGAGGGGGCTAAATAGAGATGAACATGTACATGGTGCTTTACTAATTTTAAATGAATTATTAAGATGTTCTAATGCTGCATGGGAGAAAAAGTATACAACACTTATGCAAAAGTTGGATGCAGAACAAGATATATCGGATGAAATGTTTTCTCTGAGTTTTAAAATACATAATACATGGTCAACAGAAAACTTTTCTGAGGAGAAAAATTTCCTTCCAGGCATTTATGAGTCAAGTATTTGTAGAAAACTAATTGTTGAAAAATATGAAAAGATAGCTTCAGGTAAGTTAACTTTGAACTCCATTTCAATTTACAACTAACAACACTATACTCGTACAGTTAAGTTTGTTTGCAGAATTGTGAAATACTCCAGAGAAATTGTATTGATTTTTAATTAATATAATTATTCCAAATAATGCTGTAGCTTTTAGTAAATGTTTCTTTGTAGTACACCCCATTTTTGCCTATGGTGGATATAAGGGAGCAGTCAATGTGTTCAAATATTTTGAAACATCCAGCGATCATAAACATTCAACCATCCATAGTGGTCAAATTATTGAGCTCAAATATATCGGAACGCATACAATGTCAAATATATGCAATCATTTAAACAATTCAAAATTATAGTAACAAACAGAATGTCAATGGTATCCAAGCAGTCAAAATATTAAAAAATTTGGAACACTAGGAAAAGAAATTTTATCTTGATGACATAAAATTAAATTTTGAATAACTTTAAAATTCAATCGATGCATTTAACACAACAGCAAGAAAATAAATGAAATTTTCTTTAATTAAGATAATGACATTGATAAATAAAATGAAACCAGATGAAAAATATCTTTATTTTTATTTCCATAGAATTGTTATCATATAAAATTTTGACTGTGATTATGATGAAATTGAAGTAAGAGTGGAGTGACGCCGTTTACAAGGACATATAAGACGATATTTTGCCTTTGCTTTGCTCTGTCAATTAATAAAAAAAAAACAGTTTCACAGGCGTGGAGTTTAGAGAGAAGGAAAACGATCACTGTAGAAAAAAGTGTCCCAGAAATATGGACAAAATAAATGCAACACTGCAATCTTTAAGTTGTCTCAATAAAAGTAATTTTCAGTCTATTTTTCCGACCAAATTCTAAACCACTTGCACATCCACACACAATAAAATATTTCAAAAATTTTTAATGTTTCTTTTTTGTCAGAAAATTTGTACATTATTCAATAACTTCATCTACTTGAAACTCCCGAGTTCGCCACATTACAACTCAGAGCTTGTAGTACTGCCATACTGTCGGTAAGTATTCTGATGGAGAAGTCTTTCACCTTCCTAGCATCTATTGCTATGGCCGCTTGGATGATAACCATCCATTCAGCCTGGAAGACTGTGTTATGGGTACCCAGCGATGTGCACATGTGGATATTAAGGTCTTCGGATAAAGCCCCGGACCTAACACATTCATTTGTCTTAGAACCATCTGAAGTGAACCATCTGAGTGAAAACTCTGAGCTCTTTTGGTCCCAATCCTTCCAGCTGGTCAGTTTCCTTCAATTGTATCCTGTACTTCTTATCAAATACAAATTGTTTTGGGATCCTATCATACTTGAATTCTAAGATAGGCATTTTTGACTAAATTCTATCAATTATACCTGTATGGGGTACTACTCTTACTTAAAAGATTTAGGGTCTGGTGTGAATTGTTCGGGTGTGAACATTACTAGAACTGTTTTGTTTGGATTAACGGTTAGGTCATATTCCCGGCACCATGTCTCTACAATATGGAGAGCAGCTTGGGTAAGATCGCACACAATGCTTGCTGTCTTTCCAGAGACCAGTATTGTCAGATCATCTGCATAACCGACTGTATAGAAATGATTAGTATTTAATTTGCTGATGAGTTCAATAATGACCATATTCCACAGGAGAGGTGAAAGAACCCCATGTTATCCCCAATATGCTGGAGAAGTTTGTTCTGTCAAAAGCACCTTCTATGTCTATGAAGGGGCCTAGACATAATTACTTTGTTTTGGATGGCCTATTCAATCTTTGTTATTACATTGTGAAATGCTGATTCTGTCGATTTACCTAAGCTATAGGCGTGTGTTGTTTTTCGTGTAGCGGTAAGTTGATTAGCGCCGACCCTCTCAACTCCCGTTCACACATCCTCTCCATCGTCTTTATGAGAAAGGATGTGAGGCTGATGGGTCTATAGGATTTAGGGTCTGTATAGTAGCTCTTACCTGGTTTGGGTATGAACGTGACTTTCACATCCTTTCATCCCCTAGGAACATATTTAAGATCTAGACATGCTCTCATTATGGCAACAAGTCTGACTATTAGGGCTTTACCCCCCTCCCCACTGTAGAAGTGCCGGGAATATGCCGTCAGGTCCTGCCGCCTTATAGGGACGGAAACTATGAATGGCTCAATGGATTTTGTCCATCGTCACCACTCTTTGTGCTAAATCCCAGTCTTCTTTTGTTAGTGTCAGTACTTCTTCATGCCGGTTCACCCTTTCAACTACACAGTAACCTGGGAAGTGAGTATCAATTAGGATGCGTTGGGATTCATCCGGCGATGTTGTGTAGCTTCCGTCAGGTTTCTTTAAAGAGATGGATCCCGGCGTGTTCTGTTTAGCTAGGATTTTCCTTATCCAATTCGCTTGTTCACAGGTTGAAATAATACTAGTTTTTACGGAATTTATCGCGTATATTTAACTTTTTAAATACCCGACGTTTCGAACGCTTTACAGCACTCATGGTCACGGGCGGGACTGAGATGTTCAATGTCCATATGTCGTAGTTAACCGCGGTTACCATAGATTAAAATTTAACTTTTGTTCCGATCTATACAGTATGAACTTATGGTATCTTGAAGTCTTGCATTTTTATGCTTGGGTTGGGATTTAATTTTATTTATTATCGGATCCCAAGCAGATGGTAGCACCCAGCCATCTTCTCTATTGAAATTAGGATGTTTTTTTGATTTCAATAGCCTCGCGAATCATCCTTGGAAGGAATCGGTGTTTTTTAGCGAGGATTTGCGGTCTATCAAATCTGATGTAGTGACGTGGGGCGATCCTGTACGTGTTCACAGACTGCAGACTTCCCGGAGCGTCGACTCTTCACATAAGCTATATGTTCTTTAACGCGGGTTTTTATTGATCTTTTAGTTTGTCCTATGTAGGAGAGACCACATTCACAATCAAGCTTGTACACTCCTGCATCTTGCAGTGGGACATTACACTTGACTGATGGTAAAAACTGACCAATCTTCTTCAGCGGCTTGAAGTATGTTGTGTAGCCAATCTTGTCAGTGACTCCTCTAACATATGGCAGTACAGCAGGTACACGCTCGACTGTGGCCGGCTTCACTCGTTCCCTGTGACGTAGGCGCGGGACTCGAAGCTTGTTGTCATGCAAAACTTGCTTGACATGGTGGAGCTCTGCAGCCAGGTGTTTACTGTCACAGATCCCTCGTGCTCTCTGAAACAAAGATTTACCCATGTTCGAAACGTCGGGTATTTAAAAAGTTAAATATACGCGATAAATTCCGTAAAAACTAGTATTTTTTCAATGTGTAGTGTTCGCGTAAATATAAGAAATCATTATGTTCACAGGTTTCTATGTTTACACAGAATTTGCGCCACCCTGTTGAGCGTCGATACCTGATACATTTTTTGTATTCAGACTTAGCTTTGTTATATAGTAGCCAGTCTTCATCCATTGAGGTATTCATTGCTTATTTAGGGCTTTTCTTACCTTCTTACGTTTCCTGTCTAGTTCTTTACCCCACCACGATTGCTTTTGCTCAGCATGTTTTGGTGGAGTGATTACTGTACATGATTCATAGTAGCTATTGATCATGGCTTTAGTAACAGCTGCTATCTGTTTTTCTAGGAGCAATTGATCTGCTATGGTATTAGTTCCCCCAACACCCGTGAGCGAAGACGTCAGCCTATTGAGGTATTTTGTTTTATCCGTCATGCGGGGATTTCTCCATGGTGGTATAGCGGGGATATCGACCTGTAGTACGCAGTAGATCCATCTGTGGTCTGAGCATGAGGCCTCTTTCAACACATGCCATCCTGTTATTAGTTTAGCTGCTCCTTCTGTTGCAAGTGTGAGGTCGATTATTGGGTGATAGTGCTTATTTATGAAGGTTGGTACAGAACCAGTGTTTAAAATGGTTAGGTTAGTGCTTAATAAATATTCAACTAAAAACTTACCTCGTTCATTAGGTTTTTCCATTCCCCAAAGGGGATGATGCGCATTGGAGTCCGTCCCGATCACAACCTCTAGTCCGGCCCTCTCGCAGAAATTCACCAGCCTGAGGTCATGAGGGGGAGGGGTGTCTTCATCAGGCATGTAGACCGAGGCGACGACTAATCTTCAATCCGTATGCATTGCGGAGACAAATGAAAATCCTGTGTATTTTGTAATGCCGTATCATTACAAAATACACAGGATTTTCATTTGTCTCCGTTTACACATGTTATTAAAAATGTACAAATAAAAATCATCACAAACTCAACTTAAAAACATACTTAAGTAACATAAAAGTTGTAGAATAACTTACCTTTTAGGTTGTTTAGGCCTTTAATTTTACCAGCCCCAACCCATGGCTTTTGGATTAGGTCTATGGCCGTCCTTTGTGCCTCCAACCACTTGCGTAATTGAGCCGACGCAGTTTCACTGCGGTTTAGGTTGGCCTGCACTAGGCTAGTACTTGACGAAAGGTACGCCATCATTGATTGCGTCAGAAAAGGTCGTAGGTTCTTTGGGGCTCCGCAGGAATTTTGCTACTCGCGACCCTTTGCTTATTTTTCGCGTCCAGCTCCTTAGATTAGGAACTGGTTTTGGAAACATCCAGCGCGAAAATTGCCCCCGTGGTGGAGCCACCTACGCTAGTTGGTACAGTCTGTAGAACCGCCGGTTTAGCGGCGGTTCCTTCTGGTTTGTCAGTGTCTAAGGTAAACACCTCTGACACGTCTCCCTCTCTACTAATGGGCCTTGTGGTATCCTTAGTGTTTCATCATCCCCCCCCCCCCGGCTTCCCACCCTCCATGGAGCTATGGAATGCCCTACTTTATTAAAAGAATTCCAGGCGTTAGGATTACCGGGGGAATATAGGGACGCAGAATTGGCTCACAGCGCGACATCGGGAGCTCGATCGAGCTGCCCGAGTAGACTTTCACTTGCTCCATCAGCATGGCCTTTACCACCACCTAGCCCTTTTCAGGAGGAAATTTTTAATATCTCTTTTGAATCGACCACGTTTT